CATTTCCACAGGCCCCCATTGTTTTCGGGTTTTTGCCTATTTTCTTCGTCGATTAGTTTATTTTGAAAAGTGTCTTGGCCACGCGACACGCTCCTCTGATTTATCTCTGTTTACTGCCGCTTTTGTTTTGTTTGGACTCTCGGCAGTGCTCTCATCTTGTGGCATGTGTCGGCTTTCCGTGGATATGTATGTACGAGTATAATCATTAATTCTGGCTGGATCAGATCAGGGCAATTTAGTCGGGTAGAAACGGCTTAGCAACTGGTTGGAATGTGCATCTGTACATATTTATGACTATTTTGATATCATATTTTTCAAAATTAAATGTCCATTTAATAAATTTCAAATTTACGCTAATGATCAAGCATATGACATTTCTCTGTCTATAATTAACTGAAAATTGAATACTTTCGGCATAAATTAGCTGATAATAAATGGATACGCTTCCAAGGAGCTGTTTGTGATGACTCAACGCTTTCTATGCCAATCACGAGTGTATCTTCATTTATTTTGTTTATTCCGGGAATTTCGTGTCAACATCTAAAACTGATGATGCCCAACCCCACATTGTTGTGAGAGTATATAAGAGATGATATTTTGACTGACGGAAATACTCAGGGGAACTCAGCTGGTGTTTGTGTATATGAATATTTCCTGCTGCATATCCTATAAATACGCATCCCGAGCGGCTATAAAAAAAGATTCAAATATATAAATATCATTTTAGGCACGTGCTCCATTAGGTTCTCCAGCATATGAGGACAGATATTTTATATAGAAATAAATGGTAGAACTTTATGCATTTTGTGTGTGGCAAATATAGGAAGAATAAGGGGATATATTCCTATATATGTACATAAATATTTATGTATAGTCCACCTATGTATTTATGTATATAAAGAACCATTAGTTACCATATAGTGTGTGTCCTATATTTGACCTCAAAGAGTTTCGGGAACCGTTGGTCGCTTCGATGTTGTTGTCTTTCGGCGCGCCTGATGGCGTGGGAAAGTATAAAAGCAATTGTAGGCGTTGTGGGAAATTTCTTTGGAAAGCCACAAGATTACTGGCCCCTCAGTCGATGCAAAGCATTCGTTCAGTTGAGAAGTGAAATTTTCCTGCCCGGCGTGCACCCAAAAAGTAGCAAGGATATAAGCAAAAGGATAACACAGCCCTCAGCCAGAACACAATAAGCAAGCAAAACTTGTTGATCGAACATTTGTGGGCGATAAAGTATGTGGAATTTAATGAAATATTTTCGAAATAAAAATACAAATACGAAAGAATTTATTAGTGAGAAGAAACTTTCTGAAATCTATGGAATCTGTTGGATGGCAGAAACATTTGCTGCAATTAATTTACTTTTCTGTGCGACATCTTCGATCCTTAGATCTGTGCTATGAGTTCTGTGTGCTGTGTGTGTCGAGACCAGAAATAGATTTTGTGGAATAAAAAATGGCACGCAAATTAGAACATTAAAACGAAATTATGATTTCTATCAACTTGTGGACCACTCGCCCACGCCGCTCCGTATGATATCTGCAAAAAATATTAGCTGTATTTTCGGTGACATCATTTTTGCGTTTATAGTCCCTGGGGGGTGTGTACTGTACTTTTTCCAGAGAGTATAATTACTGATCGTGTGTGTTCCCCTCTTTTTACAGCTGAAGTCAAAATGCCAAGCGGTAAGGTAGACAAACCCGTTATCCAGGACAATCGTGATGGTACCGTCTCGGTGAAGTACGATCCACGCGAAGAGGGCTCCCACGAGCTGGTCGTCAAATACAATGGCGAACCCGTCCAAGGTAAGTGAAACGCTGCAGCATTAAAGTACATTTTCTGATGGATTTGGTTTTTGCTGTGGCAGGTTCCCCCTTCAAATTCCACGTCGACTCGATCACCTCTGGCTATGTGACGGCCTATGGACCTGGGCTGACCCACGGCATCACTGGCGAGCCGGCCAATTTCACCATCTCGACCAAGGGCGCCAGCGCCGGTGGCCTGACCATGGCCGTCGAGGGACCTAGCAAGGCAGTTGTAAGTGCTTCAGCCTTCCGCATTCCTATGTGTCTCTATAGCGAGTGGCTTCTTCTTTGCAGATCAACTACCATGACAACAAAGACGGCACTGTCTCGGTGCAATATCTGCCCACGGCGCCCGGCGAGTACCAGGTGTCGGTGCGCTTCGGCGACAGGCACATCAAGGGTTCGCCCTACTTTGCCAAGATCACTGGCGAGGGTCGCAAGCGCAACCAGATCTCGGTGGGCTCTTGCTCGGAGGTCACCATGCCCGGCGACATCACCGACGATGATTTGCGCGCATTGAATGCCTCCATCCAGGCGCCCAGCGGCCTCGAGGAGCCTTGCTTCCTCAAGCGCATGCCCACCGGCAACATTGGCATTTCGTTCACACCCCGCGAGACCGGCGAGCATCTGGTCTCGGTGAAGCGCATGGGCAAGCACATCAGCAACTCCCCCTTCAAGGTGACCGTCTGTGAGCGCGAGGTGGGCGATTCCAAGAAGGTGAAGGTGAGCGGAGCTGGCCTCAAGGAGGGCCAAACGCACGCGGACAACATCTTCTCAGTGGACACCCGCAATGCCGGCTTCGGCGGTCTCTCCGTCTCGATCGAGGGTCCCAGCAAGGCCGAGATTCAGTGCACGGACAAGGACGATGGCACCCTCAACATCTCGTACAAGCCCACCGAGCCGGGCTACTATATTGTCAATCTGAAGTTCGCCGATCATCACGTGGAGGGATCACCCTTCACCGTCAAGGTGGCCGGCGAGGGCAGCAACCGGAAGCGTGAGAAGATTCAGCGTGAGCGCGATGCCGTGCCCATCACGGAGATTGGCAGCCAGTGCAAGTTGACGTTCAAGATGCCAGGCATCACCTCGTTCGACCTGGCCGCGTGCGTCACATCGCCCAGCAATGTCACCGAGGATGCTGAGATTCAGGAGATCGAGGATGGCCTCTACTCGGTGCACTTTGTTCCCAAGGAGCTGGGCGTGCACACCGTCTCGGTGCGCTACTCCGAGATGCACATACCCGGCTCTCCCTTCCAGTTCACTGTCGGTCCCCTGCGCGATTCGGGCAGCCATTTGGTCAAGGCCGGCGGCTCCGGACTGGAGCGGGGCGTGGTCGGAGAGGCAGCCGAGTTCAATGTGTGGACCCGCGAGGCGGGTGGTGGCTCCCTGGCCATCTCCGTGGAGGGTCCCAGCAAGGCAGACATCGAGTTCAAGGATCGTAAGGACGGCAGCTGCGATGTCTCGTACAAGGTGACCGAGCCGGGAGAGTATCGCGTGGGGCTGAAGTTCAACGATCGCCACATACCCGACTCACCCTTCAAGGTGTACGTCTCTCCGGATGCGGGCGATGCCCACAAGCTGGAGGTGCAGCAGTTCCCGCAGGGCAACATCCAGGCGGATGCCCCCTACCAGTTTATGGTGCGCAAGAACGGAGCCAAGGGCGATCTGGATGCCAGAATTGTGGCACCATCGGGCACCGACGATGATTGCTTCATTCAGGCCATCGATGGGGAGATGACTTCGGTGCGGTTTTATCCACGCGAGAACGGAATCCATGCCATCCACGTCAAGTTCAATGGCGTCCACATACCTGACTCCCCCTTCAGAATCAAGGTGGGCAAGAATGTGGCTGACCCAGCCGCTGTTCATGCCACCGGCAATGGCCTGGCCGAGGTCAAGACTGGACACAAGACCGACTTCATTATCAACACCTGCAATGCCGGCGTTGGCACGCTAGCCGTCTCCATCGATGGCCCCTCCAAGGTGGCCATGGACTGCACAGAGGTCGAGGAGGGCTACAAGGTCCGCTACACACCCCTGCTGCCCGGCGAGCACTACATCACGGTCAAATACAACAACGTGCACATTGTGGGATCACCGTTCAAGGTGGACGCTGTTGGCGAGAAGCTGGCCGATGAGGGTGCACAGGAAACGTCGACTGTCATCCTGGAGACCGTGCAGAAGTCAGCTAAGGGTGGCAAGAACACTGGCGTTCATCTGCCCGCCTTCAAGTCCGATGCCAGCAAGGTTGTGCCCAAAGGCATGGGCCTGAACAGGGCCTACATTGGCAAGCAGAATCAGTTCAGCATCTGTGCCACCGATGCGGGTGAGTAATTACTTGAGTTATTATCCTGAACTTTCACTAATCATTTGTACATCTCTCTGTTTAGGCAACAACATCTTGTATGTTGGTATGTATGGACCAAAGGGACCCTGCGAGGAGTTCCATGTCAAGCATGCTGGCCACAACAACTACAATGTGCAGTATCTGGTGCGCGATCGCGGGCAGTATATACTGCTAATCAAGTGGGGCGAGGAGCATATACCCGGCTCCCCATTCCAGATTGATGTCTAGGCATATATGTATGTGTAGGATATATGCCACTCCTCTTCGTCGCTTCATTTATGTACCCGCAGCGCATCCGCATGTTCCAGGGTCAAAATTCGTGTGTCTGTTTTTTATTTCCTCTCTATCTCGCCCTTGTTTTCATCATGTGTAATTTCTCTTTGTTAAATTTTAATTTCTTGCTTTAACGCTCTACTTATATTAGGTAAGTCTTTTTGTTATTTGTAAATACATGGAAGGAGCTTGTGGCTTTCTTTTTGTTCGACTCGAGACGCGCCATTTTGCACCTTATAAATCTTACATTAAATTTGATTCGATTTGTTTAATGTTTTCTTGTGAAGCAAAGCTCAAAACACAAACATGGATTTGATAAACATAAATGAATATTCAACACACACATTTTTGGGCACACACAAGAAGTACAGTACTACAACTACTACTATTGCAATGCGAATAAATCTCTTAAACAATTATTTAATACTTAAGAACACAATTTATGATGGATTATTATGACGTATTATGTTTTTTATTATCACTTATCGACATTGTAATTTACGTGAAATAAATCAAACAAAAATCTACAAATAATTACAAAGCTCTTTCCACTCTCCCTCTATGTGGGATGTTTTGAAAACATTCCCAAATTATATTTATAACGAATGAATGGATAGAAAACTTAAAGTTAAAACTGGCGAATCAATCCTCTTTGGAATTCCCCAGAATGCTGTACACTTCTCCATATCGATTAATGTTTTCCCAGATGTCTTCGTCGCTGGAACAAGAGCCACTGGAGGTCTCTAACTCGTGCACCAGAGTGTGGGCAGTGTCCGGACTGGCACTGAGTGCGCTTGCCAGCTTGGGTGTGGGGCGATAATAAACCGAGTGGCGGCTGTCGTAGCTGCGACTGCCCATGTGATACTTGAGATATTTTCTGGCCCGACGTTCTCCAATCACCCGACCAAGTTCCTGCTCGGTGAGCGTAAAGTTGCCCGAATCGGCTGTGGTGGAGCTTCTGTGCAGCAGGATGCCCCTCTTGGTAATATTAAGGGGCTGTAGCTTTTGCTTTTTTGCCTCACAAGTGGTTGTGGATGTCACCACAGTGCAGTCGGCCTCGCCACCCTCTTCGATTGATTCCAAGTCTATGACGCTCGGCGGGGATGAGTCATTTTGCAGAATTTCGTCAATTTTCGGTTCATGTTCCGAGGTGCTCATGGCAGTGCGCTTTTTCACCCTCATTATCCGAGTACTGGCCGTATCGTTCGCCAAGGCGGTGGAGTTGCAGGCGACGCTGTTATTGTGGAAGAGAGACATCGAAGAAGACTGCTCCAGCGCTGTCATTTGTGGGTCCACCTTGAGCCTCTGTTCTGCTTGGCGCTTCAACTGCTCCATTCGATAAGTTTTCTTGGACAAGGCCAGGGCTCGCTTCAACTCCTTAGCCTCTTCCGTGTCATTTAATGAAGTCATATTTTGTTCAGGCAATTCACCTTCATCAGAGCTGGAGCTGGAGCTGGCTGCTTCGACATATTTTGGTAAGGCGCAACGTTTTAGTCTTACAATTGCTGACTTTATCTTTACATTCTGTTCATTGGCTGTGAATTGGGAATCTGGCGAGTGAGCCTTTTCTTCGCTGATTTGAGGCAAACTTGAAGCAGTATTCGAATTGTATTTATTCGTGGCAGCAGGCTTGGGTCTCAATCGCCTCTTCTCGGGCGCGTCAGTTACGGAAGTCTCTGCTGATGATTTATTTTTTAAGATCTTCTGCGAGTTGACATCTACATCGGAGTTGGTGCAAATCTCAGTTGGTGTTTGGTATGTTTTCTTTAGTTCCATTTTATGTGCGGTAAACAATTTCTTGAGGCGGTCAACTTCTAGCGTCACTCCCTTCGCGGACTTGGCTACATCTTCCTTCAGAGTTTCAGGCAAGCTTGAGGAATCTGCTGCCTTGTCAGTGTCTTCGCTGATTGCAGGCAAAGTCCTTACGGTTTTCTTATGTGGCGGCTTTTCCATAGAAGACATTGGCTTGTTGGGTGTTTTGATGGCTTTTCTATTTTGGGCCAACTTTTTCTGTTTCCCCTCCGAGAATCTCATTAAACGGCTTCTATTTCTGAATTCGTCTTCATCCGAAGAATCCGTTTCATCTTCAGAACTTGCCCTGATCACGATTTCGCTGATTGGAGGCCATTTTGTTGGAATGGCTTTCTGTTTGGTGGCCTTTTCCACAGTTGAGATTGCTGCCTGCCTGCGTTTCATGGGCGCGTCTTCATCGGAAGTGTCGCTGTCAATGGAATGTTTAATAAACTGATTAGTCGCCTCACGCCTCGATGCAACAGCGGAAGTTGCCTTCCTAGTCAGTTTATGCAGGGATTCAGGCATGGCCCGTTCACGGCGCTTCGAGCGCACGGTCTGTGATGTTTTCCTCAGCGTTAAATGTTTCTTTTTGCAAATTTGCAGACGATTGTTGCGTTTGGTAGGCGTGCCCGTGTGCACGGGACTGTTGCAGTTATCCACAACCCATTCCTCTGTCGAGCTGTTGGCAATGTGCACCACGTCAGCGCACAGCTGGTCGCTGTTGCAGCAGCTGCAATCGTTTTCCAAAAGGCGTGGACGCAGGTCCAGCTCCTCCTGGAAGCTGTGTGGACGTCGCACGCAGTGCAGGGACCTTGACGATGCTGATTGGTGTTGATATTCGAGCTGGCCGCGATATGAACAGCATTCATAGGCACTTCTGGTCAGCAAACGTCTCAGGCAAGATCGGCAGTCGCACCCGCTTAAATTGGCATCCTCGTCCTTGCTCGACTCCGACTCAAAAAACGATGAAGCGACGCGACGCTTACGCAGATGCTTGAGTCGCGAGTGATGGCTGCTGCTATGGCTGCTGCTGCCATTGTAGGTGCAGTGCCTGGGCCTGCTGGCGAGATAGGCCAACTTCCGCTCCTTCTCACGACGCCGATGCAGCAGTGCCTGCATGTGATGGCGGTGCTCCTGTTCATCGTCGTAGCCGTACTTGACACGCAGCTCGTCGCGCCTACGCGGATGTGTGCGATACATTTTGATGGTCGTCATGTTGGTCACCTTGGAGGTGGTTGCATTTCGTCTGCGACTCTGCATTATGTAGCGGGCCGTGTCGACGGAGTGAAGCGACTCGTTGTCGCTGGCATCGAAGTGTGAATCGTGCCGTTGGGAGCTCTCCGCCTCCATATAGACACTGTTGTTGCGGCGCATCCATTTTCCTACATGCTGTTCGATCTTCTGCGCATCGAAGGTGTCCAGTATTTTATCCAGTCCAGCCGCCTTCCACTTGCGCTTGTGCTCCTCGACAACGGGCATCGTTTCATTCATAATCTTCTCTATTTCGGCCGTTTCTGCTTTGTTCTCCCCAGCGCACAAAATCATCGTCAGCTCCGCTTTGCTCATGGCTGTCGTTGTATTCATGTTTCTCATGTGCAGATCCGCTTCCAGCAGATCATCTTCTACCGCCTCCTCATCCTCCGGTACATCGGGGTCTCTTTCCTCACCTTTAAACAGATTCTCAATGTTTTCCATATCAATCTCTTCGCCATCGTCGACTTCCATGAAGTGCTATAAAGAAATAGCTTAGCATTCGGATCGCAAACCAAAAGAAGGCCTCACCTTCATCGTGTTAGCCCAGCGTTTGGAGCGTTCGAAGACCAGTGTCTCCAGCGTTTCTTCGTCGAATGCTGCATGCGACATGTTAACATTTGCAGTCTTCCTATAAGTTGTTTTATTTAATTTAATTAAAATTGGGAAAGTAAAGATGCGCTTGATTTGAAGTAAGTGTGACCACAAGTACCGAAATATATGTTCTCATTTTCCAAATATACCGTAAATATACCGCGTTGAATTATATTCCTCAATTTTGATATTCTGTTTAATTCCAAAAGCACATTAAGACCCGCAACCATGAACTTACAATTTAATCCGAATGATGGATGAATTTTCCACAAGATTGGCAAGTTTTAAATACTTCTTCTGGTTGCATTTTTTCACAATATAAGTTTCAAACAAAAATGTCAACTCAGGAACCGTAATTGTGTCGGAATGTTAACTCGTTGTTGCTGGTCAACCAGATTTTAGTGTGGAGTATGGACATTTGCATACCCTATATCCAGTAGTTAATGTTCAATTTCTGTCATCATTGATATATTTTTAAAACAGAGAAACTGAGTAGTTTCTGTATTCATTTCAGCCTGAGAGAAACAAACATTAACTCAACTCCATAGCATCCTAATTTCGAAGATATGCAGGTACGCTGCTGCTCTGGTTGCGAAACAATGTTAATCATGCTGTCTTCGGTGTGACCGCGTACTTGCGCAAAAATATACCGACTGATCTTCACAAATATACCAACAGGTATGAAATGATTTTTTCTGTCGTTTTTATTTTGAAGTTATATATGTTTTACATTAGATTAATATTGCAGATAAACAAACGAATACATATTGTATGCCTAAATAACTGTTCAATTGAAATACATATACATATCTCCTGCTGCTCCATTGGCCACTAAATAATGTCGGAATACAATACATGTCTATTTCTGGTGTTTTCTCCTCTTTCTTCTTCGATTCTCTTTTGTTTCTCTGTTCGTGTCGGGGGTTGTGTTAATAATTGTATATATATTTATATAGGTTGGTTGGTTTGGAATTTGGGTGGCCGTTGGACGGCCCTACTTGCGATTGCGTATGGCGCGGTCCATGATATTGTTGATGCGCGTCTCCGAGTAGCCCGGCACTAGCATGTGGATAAGCTCCTTCATGAACAGATCACTCACTCCCGGGCTGGACCGTTCGGCCAGCTCGAACACCGACTTGAGGTCGCCAATGTCGCTGCCGACGCCCATGTTCTTGCTGGTGCTGCCGCCGCCGCTGCCGCCCGAGTACTTCCTCTGGATGTCGCTCAGTACGGGGAAGAGGAAATTGTTCAAACAGGCACTGTTCGTGTGGTTCACCCGATGTTGGCCCGTTGGAGGCTGTTTCACATGATTGGAAGAGGGATGATGTTCGTCGTTGATGTTGTTGCTGCTGCTGCTGGCGTTTGTTGCATGGAATGATTCACGTTGGCTGCTGCGACGTTGCTGCTGCTGCTGCTGTTGTTGTAGTTGTAGTAGTTGTTGCTGCTGGTGGTGCTGCTGCTGTTGCTGCTGCTGCTGTTGGTGGTGTTGATGTTGCTGCTGCTGCTGTTGATGTTGATGGTGCTGCTGTTGCTCGGCAGCAGCCATTGGCAGTCCCAGAGAGGCACGACGCTCCTCCACCTGATCCAAGGGAGCCGCTGAACGGGACTGACGTAGCTCCGGCTTGGAGCTCGATCGCTTCTGGATTAGTTCATTGGCCGAGGAGGAAGTGGTCACACCCGATGATGCCGTCACTCCAGCCGAGCTCGGAGGCGCTGCATTAAGCATAGTGGTCGTGGTCGTGGCATGTTTGTTGCTCAAGTGGTTATTGTTGTTGTTGTTGTTGTGGCTGTGGCTATGGTTGTGGTTCGCCTGGGTTGGCAGAGCGTTGGCCGACGCTGTGGCAGACGCTGACGCCTCGTTCGAATTGGATGCAGAGTTGACGGAGACCGAGGAGACGGAATTGCCACCGGCCGGCGATTGTGTGGTCTGCATCAGCTTCTGCATGGTCAGCTCGTGCTCCTGCAGCTGGAAGCTATTGACGCCCGCACGCGGGGCACTGTTGATGTGCAGCCCCTTGACGGTCATGATCCAGGGCTCGTCCTGGCTGCTGCCGCTCTGCTTGGCATCCGAGTCCGAGTCGGAGTTCTCAGACTCCGTCTCGCTCTCGTCGCCCTTGGAGACCTTCCACTTCTTGAAGCGGTCAATCAGATCGATCAGGTAGGCGTTCTTCTTGGCCTTCTTGATGAACGGATACTTGAGCAGCTCCTTGGCCGTGGGCCGGTTCTCGGGGTCCTTGTTGAGGCAGGCCTCGACAAAGTCCTTAAACGACTTGGTGTAGTTGCCAGTCAGCTGGGGCGGATTGTTCTTGGGTATGAGGAAGAGGACGCGCATCGGATGCAGCTCGGAGTTGGGCGGTTCGCCCTTGGCCAGCTCAATCGCAGTGATTCCCAGCGACCAGATGTCCGCCTTCGAATCGTACTGCGATTGCTTAATCACCTCGGGGGCCATCCAGAAGGGCGTGCCCACGAAGGTGTTCCTCTTCGAGGTGGTGTTCGTCAGCTGGCCAGCCACTCCGAAATCAGCCAGCTTCACGTCCCCCTGCTCGCTCAAGAGAACATTGGCCGCCTTGATATCTCGATGCAGCTTTCTCTCCGAGTGCAAGTAGTCGAGACCCTTGAGGACCTCCCTCAGTATGATACCGATGTGCATCTCCTCGAAGGAGCCAGCCTTCATCAGATCCAAGGCGGAGCCGCCACCCAGATACTCCATGATGATCCACAGCTTGGTGCCCTTCAGGAAGGACCCATAGTACTTGGTCACGTACGGCGAGTCGCACTGCGACAGCACCATGATCTCCTGCTGTATGTCGTCGATCTCATCCTCGGCCTCCTCCAAATCGATTATCTTTATGGCCACCACCTGCTGGGTGCGATTGTCGATGCCTTTGAACACCTCACCGAAGGAGCCCTTGCCTATGCGCTCCTGTTTTGTGAAAATGAGCTCCGGGTCGACTTTCTCTGTCCAGGACATGGTTGCGCTTGTTGTGGTCGCCTTTCGTGGACCTTCGGGGCTGGGGCTGACGGCGAATTTGTATGGGCTTTTGCTTGACTAATAATTTTTTCGCTTTTCGTTTTAATCCAAGATTTTCTACTTAGTGTGACCGCGGAATTATCTATAAAATATACCCGATAGAGCCTCAAAAATATACTGACAGAAAATTTTGCATTTTCAAAATATATTTTCCGATCTTGATATGCGGCTTCATACTGCAAGCAAACTAAAGCTCTCAGCCCTGAGTAGAAATTTTTTTGATATGGTTCTCAAAAACAGCCCCAACAGCCCAAAACAATTGTGACAAAATACCGAAAAGTATAGATATTTTTGTGCGATGTTTTGACGTACCTGTTACTTTTATAAAATATTTGTTAATCACAGCTCCGACATTTAGTGGTGCATTTCTGCGAAATCGAAGATATTATATTTTGTTATCAGCTGGTTGAAAAAGGGACTTTCCAACACCTACTATTTGGATAAACTGAACAGACTTAATTTTAGTCTTTTTGCATTAGATCGCCCTCCGATGACTGAAACTGTGGCCAAAACAGAAGTCAAACAACAGTGAACAATGTCCGAGGGGCTCTTACAGCCACTGCGCACCGTTTGTCAATAAGCAGTCCGCGAAGACGTAGAGAGATAAATTCGCGCCGAAATAATGTTATATCTCCGCCGCTTGTTCAGCCAGGAGCTGAGTCCTGCCGCACAAACGGACTTCCTCGGTTGCCTGCAACAGGCACCACACCTGCTAACCAATGGCTTTGCCGGTGCGCCCGCTCTGGAGAGTCTTTCCTGGTTACACAATCTGGCGCCCTGTTTCCCGCTGCGCGGCGAGCAGATCCATGTGATACACGAGCCCCAGCACTTCTACGATACGTTGGTGCAGCGCATTGCCAAGGCAAAGAAGCGCATAGTGCTGGCCAGCCTCTACCTGGGCACGGGCCAGCTGGAGAACGCCATGGTCCAGAAGTTGCGTCACAGCCTCCAAACACAATCGTCGCTGCGGCTCAACGTGCTGTTGGATTTCACACGTGGTACACGTGGCGATCTCAACTCCAAGACGATGCTTCTGCCACTGGTTCGCGAGTTCAAAGAGCAGGTCCAGCTGTCCCTCTACCACACGCCAGATCTGCGGGGGATGACCAAGCGACTTATGCCACCCCGCTGGAACGAACTCCTGGGTCTGCAACACATGAAAGTCTACCTGTTCGACGATGCTGTGATCATATCCGGAGCAAATCTTTCGAATGACTATTTCACCAACCGACAAGACCGCTACATCCTGATCGAGGACAAGCCCCTGGCGGACTTTTATGCGCAGTTCATTGAGCGGGTGCAGGAGTTCAGCTTGGCGGTCAGCCCTGACGCCACAGAGGGGCTGCATCGCAACTGGAGCATCCTGCCCTACGAGGGCACCAAGCAGCAGTTCATTGAGCAGGCCAGGAAGCGAATATCGGACTTTGTGCAGGAGACTTATCAGCGACAGAGTCAGGTGAGGGAGCAGCAGACGCAGGCGGACACCTGGGTCTTCCCGCTGCTCGAGATGGGCCAGATTGGCATTCATCACGACAGTGTGGTGACCAAGCGACTGCTCTCCAGCTGCATCGCTGGCTCCCGCCTCAAACTGGCCACCGGCTACTTCAATCTGACTCAGGACTACATGGACACCATCACGCACAAGTGCCTCGCGCAGTGCAGCATTCTCATGGCCCATCCGAACGTAAGCTCCACTTTTTTCTTGAGTTGTTTCGTTCTTAATGTTTATCGATTCACAGGCAAATGGCTTCAAGGGCGCCAAGGGGCCTGCCGGTGGTATTCCGGCTGCTTACACACTGATAGCCAAGAGCTTCTACGAGAGTCTGGTGCGGCGCAAGCAGAATCATCGCGTCAATTTCTTCGAATACGAGAAGCCTGGCTGGACGTACCACGCCAAGGGTCTGTGGTACTATCTTCCCGAGGCGAGGCTGCCAAATCTAACGCTTATTGGGTCCTCGAATTTCGGGGAGCGTTCGGTGAATCGCGACCTGGAGACTCAGGTGTGCCTCGTGACGAGCAACACGGATCTGAGCCAGCGGCTGCAGGCCGAGGCGGATCGCCTCTACGATATGTCGCAGACGGCGGAGCGGGAGATTGTTAAGCGGGTCGTGCCCCGTTGGGTACAGGCTGTTGTACGCATATTCAGGAACTTTTTCTAGACTCTATTCAAAGTGTTAGTTAAATTGGCTGTTGTTGAGGCCCCCGCACCCCCCATCGTACCAGTTACTATAGTGTTTAAATCGTGTTTAATTATTGCATGTGTGTGCGCGTGGTTGATGCTGCTGTAAATGGTTAGTTTTATACACAGTTTAGAATTTGTTAAACAATAAAGTGAATTTTTAAAGGAAATATTTCACGGCGCCCAATCAGCTTAAACTGTGACTTAGCAGTGTTGGTTAGCAGTATCGAAATATGAGCTTTGCTGCGAAACAGCTGTGGAGGGACAGCTGTGTGGTTAGACGCACTGCCAGAAAGCACAAAAAGTGAATATTGTTTGCCGCCTTCTGATTTAAAGCATCACCAATCATTTTTAGCCCGAAATTTTTTGAGTAGCCGCATATTGATAAAAATGATGGCACTTTAAACGATTATTTGCGCCACATCAATTTCAAACCGAACAGTGTTGAGCACCGCTCAAAAGCTGTTTCAGCTTGTGTGTGTTTGTGTGAGGCCTCGCCAAGCTCCAAAGACCTCTTCACTGATTACTGTATTTTTTTGGCCCAGGTAAGACGCGTCACCTGGTTTGCGCGCCGTGTTCGGGAACAAATTGAATGCTGAGACCCATTTTGGTTTCGTTATGAGCGCCGCCCGTATGCGTAGCCGCATCTGTGTGTTTGTTTGCCGTGAAAGTTAAATTAAAATAAATGTGATTATCATCCGGCTAAAGCAGCCAGCCACTACAGCAACAGTAAAAACAACAGCGAAAGCAGCAGCAGTAGCAGCGCGTGCTACCAGTGCTTGTGTGTGTGTTTATACAGATGTATGCATATATGTAGATGTGTGTGTGTGAATATTTCCAAGAATAACCAAAGCAGCAACAACAAACAGTGCAAAATGTCAAACAATCGGCGAAGAGTGCGCACAATTGATTACGTCGCCCTTCAGAGCCTGCAGCTGCAAACGACGCCGGCTAGAAACAATACTGCAGCCCCTGCAGCAGCAGCAGCAGCAACAACGCAGGAGGAGGATGAAGATGGAGCAGAAACCACTGCCACTACCACCACCACCAGCCCACCACCAGTGCCCCCATTGCGGTTACGACGCGAACACAGCGTGGATGAGGATGTTGCAAGGTGAGCCCACTGCCGCTGGGCTAGTGGAATTTTTCGGGATTTTCCAAACGAACAAGAAATGTTACGTTGCAGCAGCAGCAGCCAGCAACTTTTTTTGGTCTTTAGAGTCTGTTTTAGTCGCTCCAATCCCTCTCTCTCTATCTCTCTCTGTCCTGTTTTAAGCGCATTTCACCAGTTTTTTAATTGTTTAAACGTAAACAACGTGTTTCGCCGTCGCTCAAGGAACCAATACGACATTTTTGCAAGCCAGTCATAAAACAAAATTAAAAAACTCTGCATTTCTCCTGGAAATTGAACACCTTTTCGTTCTGCTCTTGTTCTTGGCCGGGGTGGGAGCGGCGGCGCAATTACAATTATGCACCACACACTCTTCTGCCCCGTGATCTGATGTTCCAGTGCTGAGTGTTTTGGTGAGCTTGTGTGTGTGTGTGTGTGAACATTTATCATAACCCACCATATTCGGGTCGAGCGGTGCTTCAGCTGCAGGGAGTCGAGTCTTTCAAGACATTTGCTGATAACGCCGCTAGCTTTTGCTTTTGCCTGATAAGACAACGCATACACACACATACAGCGTATACCTATGACATTCTCTGGTTACCTCGTTTATGTGTTTCCGCTGAGTGCTTATTCATAATTTGTTTAAAAATTTTTGATTTGATTTTTCCGGTAAACAGCAGAGGGTGAGACATGACATTCGCAGGAAAAGCTGCACATATTTCTTTTTTCTGTCGCATGTCTGTACGCAGTTAGCGGGAAAATCACGCCAAACATAAATTTTGATTTTTGGCTGGCACCTGCTCGCGCTGCTCTGCCGCTCTGCTTCTTCTGCTGCGCCTCTCTGCCGTCTTCTATCCTCTGTGTCTTGTTCTTCTTCACCTCACATACCAGTTTGTTGTGGGGTGGGAGAAACAGGGAGATGCAGGGAGAGGGAGACAAGGCACTGCGACCAGCTAAAACGCGTTTAATACGTGCGCTTGCACATTCTGCTTTGTAACCTCTTTCGTTATAGCGTCGCGGGGCAATTCTGTTTTGAAATCAAATTCGCTTTCTTCTCAAGTTACATACCCCGGACGGAGCTTTGTCTCTTGCCGAATGAATGGAATTCCACTGCCCGAAGGTCTTTCCTAACTGTTGTTGGACACTTGGCCAAAAGATCTCTCTCTCTGTCTCTCTTTCACTCTATCCAAAGAGAGCCACGCTCTGGCCGCATTCGTACTTGAACTTGCAACTCGCACACTTATTTTCTTGTCTCTCTCTCTCTCTCTCTGTGGGTAATCAGTGGGCATGCCGGCGATACCATCAGTTTGTTTGATAAGCATAACTATGGCCGTGTACTATGTATAATTAACAGAAAACATTTCCGCATGCCTCCCACACACTCACACACGTGTCGTATGTTTCGATTTTTGAATTGTGTGTTTCGTGAACTTCTGTTTACTCTAGAGAGTGCCAGTGATCGTTTTATTGGCTATAATATAATTGAGCAGAAAAATAACAAGAACCCAAATCTGTGCTACCATCGGCAGCCGAAGATTTTGATACACTTGCAGATCGATCGTTCGGTCTTCGATTTTTGGGGCTACCAATTGTAGAAATTTGTATAGAATATCTTTGAAAGATTGGGTTCCCAATGACGTCTCCCAGTGCCAACACTCGACAGTGATCGTTAAGGGGGAAAACTGATCAATTACTCATCGCGATCGCCTCCTGTCAACTTTTATATGCCTCATGCCTCGTGCGTATGTGTAACAAAGGATGTTACATATCAAGAATACGCCTTGACGGTCACGTGACGTAGTATAGGGAATGGGACTACCCTATGACTCGAAGGCAATCGAATTAACCGATTGGAATTGATTTTCCCTTCGATTTGGGGCACGCATGCAGACAGGCAGGCAGGTCGCGGTTTCCAGCTGGATGGAGTATACTATTGTTTATTTTGACCGCCACCCACTGTGTGTGTGTGGGTAAACAAAGCTAATTAAGTAACGAGCGCGTACATAATAAAATACAATAAATAAATATTCAATATTCGCCAGCAGGCGGTGAGGCGCGAAGTCAATTACAACCCACAAAACAAACGAATGCCAAGCTGATCGCCAAGCTGACAGCCGCTCGCTCTATCACTCTCTCGCTTCTCTTTATATGCTCTCTCGCTGTCTCTCGATTTGCATTGCTAACCACCCACTGAACTACTCTCCCCAGCACCATGAAGAAACTATATAAGGAGGTCTCGTCGGCAAAAATAAGCAGGACGTGCGAGTGAAAAGTTTGAGTGAAAGAGCTCTCGCTGTAAGTGTGACGGCAACGACAATAGAGTGTGCTGATTAACCATTTGAAGGCAATGTGAAAAAACATAATAATTGTTTTATAATTTAATTTTGAATAGCTTGCTACATGATAGTAACTCTGCCACCGACGAGACCTCCTTATAGTTACTTCATGCCCAGCACTCTCTTCGGCAGATGGGGCCCATAAACAATTGGATGGCGGTCGAGCTTTTAGTTTGCCGCCGTTTGCACTCGGCACTGAGCACTTCAGTCGTTCGGGAAGCGACGCCGTTGTCGGGGGTATACGCGATATACATAGACTCGACCGAAGCGTTTGCCATATAGTATATATCGGCATATCGACGAGAGACGACTCGATGGGGTAAATTCTTGTTAAAAGTGCTAATAAATTGACTGACTGCTGCCGCGCGCAGCATTTCGCTTTTCACGACAAAAGTCGGCACGGTCCATCGCGTTATGAAATCCCCCAAAACCCTGGCCGGTGCCCCAAAGGAAGCGAAAAGGCGTGTGAACTATGCCCTTTATTGTAGGAGCGCTGAAAAAACAAAAAACTATAACAACACTTGGAGCCTCCTCCATTGAAAGATAGTGCATAAATACTATGTAAAAGAAATCGCCGCACTGAGATTCGGAATCGGAGTCCCACAAAGTCCAGTCATCGTTCGGTCGCGTCTAAAGTTCTCTGCTCTCCCTCGCTCACTCTGTGTAATTTTTATTTACTTTTCGATTGTGCTTTTTATTGTTTTCCCTTTATTTTTTACACATTGTCACTTACAGTCGGCAGTCGGCCGTGTAGAGTGAGCCGAGCCGAGCCGTACAATTAGATGTACATAAATTTTAGGGGGCCAGAGTACTATTCAAAAGTAATAGCCAGCTCTCCCTCACCACTCCAGCACCCAATTTAAGCTCTGCGCGAAAGAGTTATCGTTGCGATTCGCTGATCTCGCGGAAAAGTTTGAGAGAAATTGCTGTGCTGTTCAAACTGTAGGGCGTAAAAATGCGTCGAAAAAAGTAAGTAAAATTCAGATTTGAAGTTTTCTCTTGTGATTTTGCCAACTGAAATCATGAAATTGGCTGATGAAAGTTTGTGTTGTGGTGTGGTGCGACGACAGGCATAATTGCCAACCGATGAAATAAATCAAACCTGCCCTCAAATTAAACCATAATCATGGGCGTGACAAGCGGCTGTCTGCAGCCTGTGCGATAAGATAAACGCATTTGCATGGCACATAGCGCATGGTGATGGAGATGGAGATGGGCAGGGGGTCCAGTCGATTTATTGTAACCAAACGGCGATTAGGCTGCGTGAAGGCACTTGCTTCTGGTACCCAATTAGCGACCAATTAGGGCAAACCCTTGGCTTTAGATAGTCAGTGTTGACCGAAACGCTAAATCTCTGCCTCTACTTTTGGCTCTTGCAGAGTGGAGTATCGTGTCAAACAGACGCCCTCGCGGCCAGTGCAAATGTCCAATGCCCGCATTGGGGCACTCGAGGAGGACTTGGCACCCGAGGATGAGCTTGCCGCTCACTATGCAGAATTCGGCACAACGCCACCACGCACAAGGCTCAAGATCAAGAATCGAGACTGGGAGCGCAAACAGAAGGTGTCCAATGTTGCAGCGTAAGTAGTTCTCATTCTCATTACCATTTCATCATCATCCTTATGGTGAATGTCCATTCGTGTGTCTCATCTGTAGGAGCTGCCGATTATGCATTTTGTTGGTACCCATAGCCATCCATCCATATTCTTTTCATTCATTTTGT